AACTGCTTGTCTTTTCCTCTTGTTGATTTCTCATATCTTTCCTTCCACACACCCTTCTCCCCCCAACCCTCGCTGCCACCTCAGGTTCTTCAGACTCGTTATAAGATTCCTCAGTACACTCGGTGGTTACCTGCACAACAGCGCGCAGTAGCAGGCACGAGAATCCGCCTTCTAGACGTCACCTCCTCCTCTCTCTACCGCCCGGACTCCTTTGTGGGCTCTGGAGGGGTGAACAACGATTGTGTGCATTTCTGCCTGCCTGGTGTGCCTGACTCATGGGTTGACATGCTGCATAATATGTTATCTAGACAAGCGATTTTCCGGGTCCCTAAGGGTGCTCCAGTCCAGTAGTGTAGTCTCGTCTCACAGAGGGACTGGAGGGGTGAATGACGACTGCATTTCTGCCTGCCTGTGTGCCCGACTCGTGGGTTGACATGCTGCATAATCTGTTCTCTAGGCAAGCTATTTTTTGGGTTCCTAAGGGTGCTCCGCTAGTGTAGTTACTGTGTTAGGAAGATGTCCACCGGCATGTATTCAAAGCGAGACCAGTTTATCCATAATGCATACAATAAATAATAAGGGATTGCCTGGCTAAATGTCACCGTTTGTGTGGGTATGATCTTGCACTTCACGTGGAGGAGGCCGACGCTGCGACCTTTTAAAGAGTAAAAACGCGAGTGAGACAGCAAAAACTGCAGCCACCACAGGCCAAGTGAAGCTAGGAAAAAGCTGGAAAGGAGGACCGTAACGCGATTTGCTGGAGGGATGAAGAGTAAGTGGTTCGGCAGTGAGGGGCGGGGGGGGGTTAGGAGGACGAGAAGAGACATGTACACGCGTGGGAGGAGGTTTAGAGGTCGAAGGTGGAGGATTAAGGGGAGGAGAGGAAGGAGCAGGGGGAGAAGGTGGGGAGGGAGGGCGGAGACGGTGCAAGTGTCTTAAGAGAATGACGAGGGCAGCAGCAACTTCTGCTAGGAGGAAGAGGAGGATGAGAGGGAGTGGGTTAAAGGGTGGTTTGCTGCTCCCATTCCCACTCTCCTCGTCGCCACCACCACCACCACTGCGACCGCTGGAGTTATCACCACCACCACTACTGCCACTGTGGTTACCACCACTACCAGAAACTTCACGATTCGCATCACCCGCACCCGTGCCATCACCGCTGCCAGCATTGCCAACTCGTGCACGTCCCGTGCGTGAACCCACGCGGAGCCAGCATGCGTGGAAGGGCGGTGCTGTGACAACTGCTAGCCGGTTGCTCTGATGGTAGAAACGGGAGCACGCCGGATCCCCGTTTAAAGCAGCAGGAGAGTGAACGGTAGGTGCAGGTCGTGCAGAGTATGTACTCTCTATAGCGCGTACATCCCTACCAAGGAGCAGGTATTCCCTGTGCCGCATATTACGGGATTTTCCACGTGGCGAAAGGTGGTAGGCGTGCGACAGCCAGCCTGACGACTCGGGGCGCCCTTTGGAGCATCGGGATTGCCGATTGGTCAGGGAGATAAACTCCGGTATGGCAATATCGCGGCATGCTGCTGCTGCTGTTGCTGCTGCTGCATGCGCTGCCATCATTATAAATATCGGTCTATTTTACTCGGGCAATAAATTGGCCACTGTGAATTTAGGGCAAGCGCTCCTGTGAAGATGCTTCAGGAATGAAGTTACGGAACCCAATGAGAATGTATTATAGCCCTTGGAATAGTCCGAAACGATTCCGAGCGATAGAAATAATCGCCGGTCCGGGATCCACAGCTTGCGCTGACGTGGCATCTTAGCCGCGATGCTGGTGGCCTGGTTAGAGACACGCGGAGCGCCGCGCTTCCGTGAGCCTTGGGAGTACCGACGTGTGTTCGTAGAGCCATGGCGGGTACTAAGGTCTAGACACTAAGTAGCGATGCGGGATTGGACGGACGCGGAGGTGCGCAAGAGGAAAACTGGATTGCGAGAAGCGCGGCGTCTTTGACGGCAGGTGGCTTGTTTAGGAGACGAAACGGTACGAAAATAGCTGTGCTGTTCGTTCTGTGGCGAATTCATTAGTGTGTACTCGGTATTGCGGGGCTCGTGTTGGGTAAGAGTCTTTTTTTTTGCAGTACAAGAGACAAAGCGGTACAGATAGCGTCCTGAAGTTACCTCAGTGTCCTGATAGTGTCCCATCCACACATCCCTCCTTTTTTGTCACCTCAGGTTCTTAAAACTCGTTATAAGATTCCTCAGTACACTCGGGGTTACCCGCACAACAGCGCGCAGTAGCAGGCACTCGACTTCACCTTCTACACCTCACTTCGTCCTCTCTCTACCGCCCAGATTCCTTTGTGGGCTCTGGCGGAGTGAACAACGATTGTGTGCCCGACTCGTGGGTGTTGATTGATATGTACCCTAGGACACGACATTGTTGAAGAACGAGTTAACTAGAAGCTAGGGTTTTGGAGAGGCTTAGCAAGGAGAATCATGGAGGGAGGAGTTTGGCCAAAAGGAGGGCTTTGATATTAGGCAAGAGTACAAGATATAGGAGAAGGAAGAGAGAAGAAGAGGGTACACCACCAGCAGTTGATGGTAATAACTAAACTAATACACTAGCAAGCTATAGGCAGGTATAAGATATGCAATATCAATTAACAGACATGTACCCTAGGACACGACACAGCTACTACTTTAGACTTGTGATAAGATTCCTCAGTACACTCGGTGGCTGCCCACACAACAGCGTGCAGTTGCAGGCACTCGAATCCGCCTCCTGGACACCATTTCCTCCTCTCTCTACCGCCCAGACTCCTTAGTGGGCTCTGGTAGGGTGAACAACGATTGTGTTCATTTCTGCCTGCCCAATGTGCCTGATTGTTGGGTTGACAGACATGCTTTATACGGGTTATATGTTCTCTATAAAATTATATTTCCGGGTCCCTACAGGTGCTCTGGTAGTGTAGTGAATAGAACGGATTGTGTTTACAGGCAGGCATGCTTGCAAGATTCGAAATCATTTTGTGAATTGTGCATAATAAATACCACAAGAGGGTAATTGCCAGCTATACATCGCCGTTTGTGTGGGTATGATCTTCTGCTGCATGTGGCTGCGACCTTTTACAGAGTACAACAAACACCAGTGAGACGGCAAACACTACTACTGGCAAAGTGAGGCTTGGAAAAAGGGGAGAAACAGGGTCACGATGAGAGTTGCCGGAGGAGGGTATAGGACCTGGTGCGCCGGTGTGGGGAAACAAGGGTTTACTGGGAGGAGGGACAGCATTTAGATGAGGAAGAGGAGAGCGAGGGGAAGGGGATGGATGGGAGGATTAGGGGGAGGAGGGGAAGGATTAGGGGGAGGAGGGGGGGATTAGGGGGAGGAGGGCGCGAAGCAGGGGGAGGAGGTGGGGTAGAAGCGGGGGAGAGGGGATGAGGGTCTTAAGAGAATGGCGATGGCAGCAGCAGCTGTTGCTGCTAGGAGGAGGAAGAGCCAAGGAGATGGGTTGGAAGGTTCCTTGCTGCTTCCATCGCCCCTCCTCCTCCTCCTCCTCACTACCACCATCACGACCACCACCACCGCCACGGCGGTTACCACCATGACCACCACCACCGCCACCACCATAACCAGAGACATCAGGAGTCGCATCGCCAGCATCACCACCATCACCACGGGTGGAACGGGCTGCAACCAATACCCACGCTGGTACCCACGCATACTGATCCTTTGCACTCCCAATGAGAAATGCTCCTACGTAACCGCCGGTCCGTCTCACCGCCCCTCGTTCTGAGGCGGAAATGGGAGCACCAGCAATGGATGTGACGGCATCCGGCCGCTTGCTCTGGTGGCAGAAACGGGAGTACGCCGCATCCCCGCTAAGAACCTGACGTGCAGGCAGGTGCGAAAGCTGGTAGGCGTGCGACGGCCAGCCTGACGGCGCGAAGAGTCCTCTGTTGCATCGGGATTGCCGATTGATCAGGGAGATCAACCCTGGTATGGCAATATTGCGGCATGTTGCCACCGCTGTTACTGCTGCATGCGTTCCCATCAGCATAAATAACGGACTAGATTCTCGGGTTAACAGTTGGCGATTATGAGTTTAGGGCAAGCGTTCCAATGAACGATGGAGGTGCTTAAAAAAAATGTAGGTTAGGAAACCCAATGAGCATATCTTCTAGCCCTTGGAATAGTCCAGAACAATTCCGAGCGATAGTAATAATCGCCGGTCCGGGATCCACAACCTGCGCCGACGTGGCATCTTAGCCGCGACGCTGGTGGCCTGGTTTAGAGACACGAGAAGCGCCGCGCTTCCGTGAGCCTTGAGAGTACTGACGATGAGTGCTCGCAGCGCCATGGCGGATAGTACGGTCTAAAAGAGTTAGTACGCGTTGTGGGATTGGGTCGGGGCGGAGGTACACGAGAGGAGAGCTGGGTTGCGAGAAGCGCGGCGTCTTTTGGCGGCAGGTGGCTTGTTTAGGAGACGAAACGGTACGAAATGGTTATGTTGTTGGCTGTGTTGCAATTTCATCGGTGTGTACTCGGTATTGTGTGGCTCGTGCCGATATTATGATTCTTGTGCTGCAGCTTTAGGAGACGAAACGGTTCAGGTCTTGTTCGATTTATACGCGTTTGTGCCTTGAGATTCTCGAATCCTTGACAAATAATGAAGTTTGCAAAGCTACACTTGAAAGTGTTTTCTTGGGTTTGTCTTAGCCAGCTCCTGAAGTGAGTTCTCTCCGCCTGTAGTTTTCAGAAACGTTGCCGATGTGTTGTTTTCTACAGAGATACGTGCGCAGATTCACAGAATTGACTGCCAATACCATACGACGATATCGTTCCATGAAACGGATGCTTCCACCAATAAAACGTAGAGATGGATAAGCCTCCCGCGTTCAGAGACAACTCCTTGCACCACCGTAGCAAGCGGCCTCGTCAGCAAGACTCTCACGAATCGAATTCCACGTCAGGAAGGCGGTATGTTGTAGCCGTGCACGTGGGAGCGGGTTACCACTCCAAGCGTTACGAGCAGCGGTATCTGCGCGCCATGCGCGACGCCCTCGCAGCCGCGGAGCTGGTGTTGCGCGGAGCTGGCGGAACATCGGCGGAAGGGCAGCGAGGAGAATGCGCGGGGGCGGGAGAAGCAGGCCGATTAGACGCGAAGAATCGTGCATCTGCGCCGGGTTCGGGTTTGGACCGCTGCTGTTCGTCCACGTGTACGGCTCTAGATGCTGTCGTGGCAGCCGTTAGATGTTTAGAGGTGCGCTCACGTGTTTCAGTGTTACACATATCTGTGTGACCTTCTTGTGTGTTTATCCATTGATTCTGTGCGACACTTCTCGTCCTTAGCCTACGTTCTTGTTTTCTTCAACCTCTCTGCTTCACTTCTCCTCCGCATCTCCTTTTCCCTCCACCTATCTTCCGCCTCTCCTCTCTCCTTCTTCCTTTCACTGAAGAATCACTAATGTGTCTTTGCCCCCTCCCCAACCCACAGAGCCACAGTATCACCAATGCTGCCCGGGGATCCAATCTGACCGAAAAAGGCGAGGTGGAGTGCGATGCAAGCATTTCGGGCAGCATGTTGGGCAGCCGAGCAAAGCTTTTCGGCTCGGTAGCAGCAGCACCAGGTTAATGTTCCCCCTCCTCTAATCCCTCACGCACATTTCTCCCTATGATTCTTAGAGGTCCCTTCGCAGCGGATCAACTTAGAGGGATTCTGGGACGTGCTTTGCCGTTAGTCATGAGACGATTTTAGAGGCGCCTAAAAAATATGGGACGTGCTTTGCCGTCTTTGTTTCGTAGCTTCTCAGGGCCTCTTCTTTGGAACTGAAACTTTTCTAACTCATGCCCCTCTATGCGAATTTTTCTCGCCTTCAGGTTTAGTAAGCCCAGTGTCAGTGGCAGCAGCACTGGCAAGGCAGAGACACAAGGGTCCGCTTCCCTTCGGCCGCATCCCTCCCATGTGTGTCTGTGAGTGTCAGTGTTTGCAAGTATGAGTGCCTTTGTGGGTGTGAGTGTCCTGTTAAGAGTTTTTGTGAATGCAGGGCAGCGTGTGAGGTACTAATTTTATACCAGAGCAAAAGAAAAAAAAATCTTTACTTGAAGAGTGTTGAGGAGTATTTTGTTTTAGTCACACTCGCATGAATGTATCGAGGGTCCTTCAGCTGCAAATGCACGTGTCCCTCTGCATGTATGCGTCTCTGGGGTGGTTGCACGTCTGCATGACTGCATGTCTGCACTGCATGTGCGTGGCTGTCAGGATGTTGGCGGGGGAAGGAGCGCTGCTGTGGGCTCAGACTCATGCGCCATACGCCGTTGCAAGGCACCCACAGGTGTGTGTGTGGGGAAGAGTGGGGGAGGAGGGCGTGTGTGTGTGCGCGCCGCGCGCGCGCGCGCACGCGCGTCAGTCAGTGTGCACGTGTGCTCCATCTTATCATGGATTTCTCAGCACCTGGGATGGCATGACCTGGTGTGGCATGGCAACAACGGGACGGCATGGCATGGCAGGATCTGGTGTCAGCAGCAGCAGAAGCCCAGTGCCGCAAGTGCAGGAGACTCGTGGGGGCTTTGGATCAACCAACTCCGTTGGAGTCACTTTTGAGAATTCTCACAAGTGACTGTGTCGAATCCTTTGTTCTCTCGGCATGGCAGGATCTGGTGACGCCAGCAGCAGAAGGCCAGTGGCGCAAGTACCGGAGAATCGTGGGGGCTCTGGAGCAGCTTCAGGGGAGAAAGGAGTGCGTGCGTGCGTTCAGGGCAATAGAGAAAGAAGAGGATCTGGACGAAGTGCGGACGGAGAAGGGTAGCATGGGCACGTGGGGGGAAGATGCCAAGAGGGAGCGCAGAGATTATGGGGGATGGGGGAAAATCAACGAGGGAGGGTGATGAGGAGGATGTAGAAGGTATTGAGGGCATGGGAGGTGAGGTGGATTGGACGGGAGGGAGAGAGGAAGAGGGAAAGACAAGGGTTGTGGGAAAGGGAGAGGAGGAAGGAGAAGAGGAGGGAGAGGAGGGAGAGAAAGAGGGAGAGGGAGAGGACGAAGAGGAGGAGGAGCAGGAGGGCCCGTGGGACACAGTGGGGGCGGTGTGTTTTGAGGTGGCAAGCGGAGCAGCAGCAGCCGCGTCTAGTGGGGGAATAGCTTTCAAGGTGAGCGCCGTTGCTGGATGTGAGCTTGGGCTCCTCTCCCTTTCAAACCCATTCCTCCGACCATCCGTTTCCCCTTCGTTCTTGCACCCCCCTCTTTCTCTTTCCATGCCACCACCTCTTTCCTTCCCACCTTACACAGGCGCCTGGCAGGGTGGGGTGTGCAGCAATGCACGGGGCAGCCTGCTGGGCTGATGCCTCCATCAGCACCGCATCCAACCTACCCAAGTCATCAGCAGCAGATCCAGCATGCTCAGAGGCTGCTCAAGAGATCAGCGTCAGAGGCGATTTCCATGCAGCGGCAGTGGAAACTGAGTCAGAGCATGATCAGAAGCAGCAGCAGCACCAGCCGCAGATGCTTGCTGTGGCTGCCAGTGTGTCCGGGGCCGGTGAGCCAATCGTGGAGTGCCAGCTCGCACGGTGCGTGTGCGAGGCGGCCATGGAAGGTGGTGAGTCTGACCCTGCAGCGATGGGGATTGCCAGGCTCAATGCTCATGTGGCAGCTCTGTCAGCAGCATTAGATGATCAGCAGCAGCGGGGGGAAACAGAGAGGAAGAGGCAGTGCCCGTTGCTTCCGATGTTGGTCTGCTGCTGCTCTCTGCTTACCCGCAGCATAAGGTACTGCACTGCACCCATTGGCCTCTCAGTCTTATTCCCTGCCCTCAGCAATTGTGCCGTGCAGCATTCCCTTTTGCTCTTGCAGAAAGGTCATCCTGTGCTTTCTGTGTTTCTGATGACATTATATTCAGAATGGTGAAGTGGCAGTGGAGCTGACGGCATCCTTTCAGGCTCGCTCATTTGGATTTGGAGTGACCTCTTCTGCTGATACTCGGTTAGATGTAAGTGGTTTTCTCCTTGAGAGCTGTACTGTGTGTGTGACTGTAGTTATTTTGCTCACACCAACACTGATGACATTGTGCAGGTCAAGATTATGCGAGCAGCTGACATTTCTAGTCCATCTATGAATTGTACATTCATGTCACTCTTTCGGATATAAGCGATGGCACATCCTTTGATGCTTCAATCAATTCTACGAGAAATTTCAACAGAATGGAACTCTGTTGTCGTTTGTTTAGGTGGTTCCATGTGTCCACTCACTGTGCCTCTTACACGAGGGAACATTTTTTTATTCGAAACGGGTATTATCGAAGAGAATCTTCGGTGAATCGTCCCCACCGAAATTGGCAAGTTCAACGCACGTCGGTGTCGCTAACGACGGAGTTACCAGCCAAAGTTCTTCGCGGGGCCCGCGAACACTTCTTTGATGGTCAGAACTGTCGCTTTCTGACATCGCAGCCGAACTTTTGATGTTCTGCCAAAGGCGTGTACAAAGTGCTGCACAAACTCGACGTCGAGGTACGTCGGTGAATCCTGACGGTTGGAACCTTTGATCCGAGGGTGGAAATTCACCGACGTTGCTCGACGTCGAGTTTTTGGGCACTTTGCACACGCCATAACAAGCATGTGGCATTCCATGCCATACATCGTGCGCTGCAGCCAGAACAGTAAAACTAGGTGTTTTATTCACTAGTACGCCTGCTACAGCATTAGTGTATGGGGGTTACTACATTATGTAGTGAATAGCTGAAACGTCAGCCATTGTTTCAACCATTCTTTGGCTCTCTTAGGTAGTGCCAATAGAGAGTAAGTTATTCTGTTGTGTAAGAAAGATGGCGGAGGCAGCGGCTGCAGCAGTGGTATCGCGACGACATCACGACGAGCCAGCAGGCGATTCCGGCGACGCTGGCGACGACATCAACGACGCGTTGGGTCGCAGGAGTCCTAGAGGGAGCGTAAACCGCCATTCCCCAGGGAACTCGCGCTCTTCGCCTAACTCCGGCTCGTTACCCAAGTCCGGTTCGCTTCCAAAGTCACCGTCAGGCGCGCTACTTGATCCCTCCTCGTCCGCTTACTCCGCCGGTCGCTCGTTTCCGAAGTCATCCTCGTTATTAGACGACCCCGCTAAGTTTGAGGCGTATGAGCAGCTCAACCTACACCAGGCGCGTTCTTCGAGGTGAGGACGCTGATTCCATTAAAAATGGTTTGTCTGCATGATATTATCTCGTTTTGCATGAGCTTGTCACCCAACCACCTTCTCACCCTCGTTACCAGCAACCACCATATGTCTGTAACCAGTAACCACCATTTGTCATTCGTGTAACCAGTTACAGCGTGTGTGCTTCGCCTGTGCGTGCAGCTCTGGCAGCAGCAGCGGCCTTCCCAAGCAACACAGCTACACCCGCAATGTCGCCTCCCCCAAATATACTCATGAGGGAACAGGGGCCAATCTGAGGCACCAGGGACCAGGGTCTCTGGAACTATCGGCATTCCCTAGGGAGCCACGATTTCCGGGACCAGAATCACATGAGGGTCGTTCATTGGTTGAAGTTATGGTTAACGGAGGGTTGGAGGGACCAGGGGTAGATCGGGATGGAGGCGGGGCTGGTGTCGTGGATTTTCCAGAATCGTCAGCATCAGGAATCGAACCCGGGTCTGCTGCACGTTCAGGGCATGCATCTGAGCCTGGTTTAGCTACAGCTGTAGAGGCAACAGTGACAGGAACCCCACGCTCCGAACCTCCAGGTTCAGGGCCCCCAGATTCAGGGCCCTCAGGGTCAGGAGGAACCCTAGGCACAGGAACCCTGATCACAAATACCCTAAGCACAGAAACGCTAATCACAAAAGCCCTAAACGCAGGAACCCTAACTCTACAAAAGACGCCTCAATCCTTCCCACGCTCCTCCCTCAGGCATCCGAGCGTTAAGGCTGGCCGCTCCTCCTCCTCCTCTTCCTCTCGAGGGAAGCTGAGTGTGCGGTGGGCTTTGGAGGAGGGAGAGGAGGGGCATGAGGGAGTGGGGAGGAGGAAGAGTAGTGTGGCTCGGGTGGAGGAAGGGGATGGGGAGGAGATGGGTGAGGGGGATGGGCTGATAGGCGGAGAGGGGGGTGAGGGGAGAGAAGAGGAAGGAGGGGTTGAGGGGGACGGAGAGGGAGGGGGAGGGAGGAGGCGGAATGGGAAGCTTTTTCGGATGTTGAGTGCAGATTTTTGCGTTGGAGGGGAGAATGGGGGTAGGAGTGGGGCGTATGGGGGAAGGGGTATGGATGAGGGGAGCAGGAATTGGGGGAGAGGGGGGAGAAGTATTGGAGGAAGGGGGGGATGGGGAGGGTCAATGGGTTTGGTGGCGGGGTTGGGGGAGAGATGCAGCAGAGGGAGGGGATGTGAGTGATTGGGGGGAAGGAGGGTCAGGAGGAAGCGGAGGACGAGGGGGAGGAGGAGGAGGCGGAGGAGAGGGAGGAGTGGGAAGCAACATGAAGGGGATAGTAGGAGAGGGAGTGGCTCTTTTAGATGATGAGGAGGTGGAGAGGATGGATGACGAGGTGATTCAAGGTACGTACCTGCACAAGGGTTTCACTTTCACCTGTTGGTGAGGGTTTTATCTGCAGGAGGTCACTTATGCAGTTCATTTAAACTGCCTCTAGTGTGAAAAGCTGCTGTTTATGACGCGCCTCAGCGATTTTAATACAAGCTACATCAGGATGGATAAGGAGGCACAGACGCAGCTGCACTACGACAAAAACCTGCTCCCCATCCCTTCCCTTTCCGCCACCTTCCGCACCCCCCCCTTCCCCCTCTCCCCTCTCCCCCCCTTTGCTCGCTTGCAGCCTTGTTCGAGCGAGTGGTGGAGGCACAGACGCAGCTGCACAATTATAAGAACCTTGTCGCCTTTTCACTCTTCACCGCGCTCTACCTCCTCATGCTCTGTCTTCAGGTGCCTTCAGGTGTCTTCAGGTGCCATCAGGTGCCATCAGGTGCCATCAGGTGCCTTCAGGTGCCATCAGGTGCCATCAGGTGCCTTCAGGTGCCAATCCTCGCCATGCGTGAGTCATCCTGTTGACTTTCTCTCCTCTCGGCTTGCTTGTTGATTTCAACAGGAGAAAATGCTTCTCCCATCGTTGGCTTGTTGCACCCTCACTCACGATCTCCCTCACTCACGAGTCACGCCCCCCTTCTCTCACATCCTCCTCCCCGTCTCATTCATCCCCTCACCAGGCTCAGTCATTTCAGAGCTACCAGGTGGCCTCAGCCCACTCCATCCTCCTGCCGCCTGTATGCCCTTCCTCCCTCTCTTCCCTTCTCCTCCCTCTCTCCAGTATCCTCGTGTTGAACAGCTCCCGTAACTTTGTTCTCTAGCTTTCCTTGGCCCCATTCCATAACCTATGGATGTTCAGACCCTGGCCTTGTGCTTCGTGTGTGTGTGTGTGTCTGTGTGTGTGTGTATGTGTGTGTGTGTGTGTGTGTGTGTGTGTGTGTGTGCCTGTATGCATGTGTGATTCTGAGGCAGGACTACTCAGGGGACTCAAGCTACTCCTTTGCCAGCAGCAGCGACTTCTACACCTGGCTTAACAACAGCATCATTCAGGTGGGTCCATTCCACAGGGTTATTGCCCCACCGTGGGCCTGAACTGTTAGGGTGGTTCGCCACTGCCCTAGTGTCTACCGGCCTGCGCGCCTGACCTAGGGACGGTAGAAGAACTCTAGGAACGGTGGGAACTACGACCTAATATGGGGAACCGGTACCTAGAACGGTGGGGCTGCATGCTAAGTAGTTACGAGAGGAAAACGTGAGGAAAGTAAGGGAAAACGGAATGACTGAGAAATAGGGTTCGGGAAATGTCGAGAAGACATTTCCGAAGCCTAGAATGTCCAACCGAAACCGAACCATGTTCGGTGCGGAAGGGACAAACGGGTTTCGGTTCCGGTGACGGTTACCGAATTCGGTTACGCGTGCGACTCGGGCTGAAACGCGGATGACGCGTTACGCGAGGCGCACATCACATTTCGAAATGCTTAAATGTGTTTGTTTTCAATCAGTTGTTTGTACTTCTCTGTTTTCAGTGAAAATTGCACCAGAAAACCAGAATTTTCTCCAAGTGACTACTAATCTCCAACGCTAGCCGGAGGCTATACCTAAACTTAGAGCTGGTATCAGAGCTTGGTTATCGTCGCGTCGAGCCTCATTATAAAAGCCTTGGAGGCGTTATAATTTTTTAGAGTAATTGGAGAGGGCGAATATTCAACGACATGGGGAAAGGAGATGGAGAGACCAGTTCAGGGTCTTCAGTGAACACTGACGGTGCGCAGCTGCAGAGTCTACTCGATGCCCTTGCCAAGGGGCAAATCGTGGCCAAACCGACAATTGGCCTAAGTGAAGCTCAACGCTTCAATGGAGAGAACTACGGCACATGGAGGCTGAAGTTCATGCGACGCGCCCGGGAGGTAGATTTGTGGCATTTCTACAACCCAGAGGCAGCGACGGAGGAAGATGGACCTGCACCTGCAACCGCACAAGAGAAAAAAACGTTCAAGAAAAGAAGCCAACAAGCTTTCTTTCAACTCTGCCATTCGGTCTCGGATTCAATCGCAGCACGACTCGACCCGTTCTCTGAGGAGGACAACGCAGCAGAGAAGGCCGTGGGCGTACATGGAACGAGTGTACCTCGGGAAAAGCGAGGCAAAGATGACAGCAGTGAGGACGAAACTCATATTGCTGGCCATGGAACCTTCCGAGACGGTGGTGGACTACGTGGGCCGTGCTAAAGGCTACAACGACAACCTGACGGCTATGGGAGTGCCCGAATCGGAGAAGCAAATGATGAGCTACATCATTGGCGGCCTACCGAAATCATGGGCAGCAGAGAAGCGGATGCTGGCCTGCAGACGCCCTACAGACATGACGGACCTGGTGGAGTCCCTTCAAGACGTTGCGCTGATACGTGCTGAGGAAGAGCGAAGGGAGGCGCTGCCGGACAACTTCAGCAACAACAAACATGCCATGTTGAACGCAACTGGGGCAGGAAAATCATTCGGAGTTTGCTTCCACTGTGGGAAGAAAGGGCACAAGGCTGCCGAGTGTTACTCCAACCCAAGAAGCAAGAATTTCAGAGGTACGGCAGCAGTTAGGCAATCTGCCAATGAGGAAACAAGCGTAGGAGGACAACGACAGCGAGGCGGATTTGCTGGAAACTGCAACCACTGCGGGAAATTTGGTCACAAGGCAATCGATTGCTACAGTAACCCAATGAGCAAGAGCTTTAGGGGAGGGCAGCAGCAGCAAAGGAATCACGTACCTGTGAAGATCAACGCCACCGAAGCGGAAACCAGCGACGACGACGTCATCCTCGGGGGAGCCCACAAGGCCAATGTTGCAAGAGCATCCGGAGCATGCCTGCTTGCAAAGGGCCTCAAAGGCAAGGAGTGGTACATGGATAGTGGATGTACCCAACACATGACCAATCGGAAGGAGTGGCTGCAAAATTTCAGAGCATCACCGATCCCGTACGTGCTGTTGGGAGACGAGGGGAAACTTCCTGTGAAAGGGGAAGGAGATCTAGTGCTGCAAAGTGCTTATGGTGAGGTGAAACTGGACAACGTGCTGCTGGTGGACAAGCTCACACTCAACCTCATAAGCCAATCGCAGTTGGACAGCGGTGGGTGCGAGACTTTCAGTGACAAGGGCAGCATATGGGTGTTCGGTTCGGATTGGAAGGTGATAGCGGAAGGATCACGCAAGCAAGGGCTGTACGAGATGAAGCTGCACGAAAAACAGAGTGGGGAGAAGCCCACGTACATGGCTGAACCGGAAGCGGGCAAGGTGGCACGAGATGAGCTACGCACCAAGTTGAAAAAAGTTCCGATCAAGGAGCTGCAGCAGCAGGCGCTTCCTATGGCTGCAGCAGTGAGCACGGTAGACGTCAACCTGCTGCACAGGAGGATGGGGCACGCTGGTCACACTCGAATCAAGCAGCTGGTCAAGAAGAACATGGCAGCAGGAGTGAAGGTAGCCGAGGGTGGAGAGGAAAATCTGAAGTGCAGCACTTGCGTGGAATCAAAGGCAACAAAGGCACCACATCCCAAGCATGGAGTCCGTGAGCCATACGAGACAATGGCTATTGTGGCAGCCGACGTATGTGGACCGATGCGAGTGGCTTCACGACATGGCAGCAAATATTTCGTTACCTTCACCGACCTTGGCACACGACACACATGGGTCCCATACACTCCTCAACACAACAGCATTGCGGAGCGGGTGAACCGATCACTGCTGGAGGGTGTGAGGAGCTTGCTCGCGGACAGCAAATTGCCCCTTCACTACTGGGGAGATGCACTAGGCATGTCATTTTGGCTGAAAAATTGGCTACCGACAAAGGGATTAGCGGCGGACGTTACCCCTCACGAGGCGTTCTACAAGAGGAAGCCGAATCTGGAGTTCTTACGTGTTTGGGGCTGCATGACGCAATACCGAGAGGCGGCGGGACCCGATCACAAGCTTCTCCCTCGGACCAAGTGGGGAATTCACTTGGGAATCTGCCCGGAGAGCAAAGGGTGGGTGATACGCGATGTGGAGACTGGAAAAGTCACGGCGACCAGAGATGTTACCTTCTACGAGCAGGACACCTACTTGGAGTGGAAGGGACGGAAACAAGGAGCTGTTGCAAAGAAAGCGGCAGCAGCACCAACTCCAGTGGAGGAGATGATAGATGGGAGTGAGAAGAGGGGATAGGGGCAGCCAATGGAAGCGGTGACAATGACGACTACGAAGACCACACTACACCGGGTTTCGACTGGGTGTGGGAGGTCCAGGAGCTAACCTCACCTTCAACTGCCGTGGAAGAGGGTGAAGAAGAAAATGATAAGGGAGAAGAAGCGGGTGACAGCGCAACGAATGAAGCCGGTGAGGAAGAAGCTGAGATTTCTGATGTGGAAGAGAGTGTGGCTGAATCTGCCAGCACGGGGTACTCCGACCCATGGCGCATCATTGACACGGGGGACAATGAAAAGGCGGCAGCAGAGATTGAAGACCTACTTGTGGACGGAGCGATCATCATCGGAAGAGAGATTGAAGGAGATTCCGTGCAACAAGGAACGGATGATAATGCAGCAGCAGAGAAAGGTGGAGCTGAAAATGAGAATGAGGAGATGGGCAAAGGGAAACGGGTCAAGAAACCCAACCTCAAGTATGCCCAAATGCTTCTGACCTGCTGCAAGGACATTCACACCCACCTCCTCTTTACCACTACGGCAACGGCACTTCTATCAAAGGGGAAGGTGGAAAGCTACAAGCTGCCCACCGAGCCTCTCACCATTGAAGAGGCACTGTCCGGACCGAACAAGGAGCAATGGAGGGCTGCAATCCAGGAGGAACTTGATACCTTGGCTGAAAGGGGGACATGGGAGCTTGTGAACATGCCCGAGGGGAGGAAAGCAGTGGGAGTGCGCTGTATTTTCAAGATCAAAACAGGAGACATGGGACAACTTGAGCGTTTCAAGGCACGACTTGTGGCTAAAGGCTACACTCAGGTGGAAGGAGAGGACTACGACCAACTCTACGCACCCGTTAGCAAATTAACAACGGCAAGAATCATGCTAAAGGTGGTGACGGCACGCGGGTACTTCATGGTGCAGCTGGACATAAAAAATGCCTTTCTCTATGGCATTTTGAAGGAGACTATCTACATGAATCAGCCACCGGGGTGTGAGGACGGCACGGACAGAAAGTGCAAGCTCATCAAAGCACTTTATGGGCTGAAACAAAGCCCACGGGAGTGGTACCTAGCCATGGACGCACAGCTGGAAAAGGGGGGGTTCATCAAGAGCTAATGTGACCGTGCATTCTACTGGAAGGGAGAGGGGGAAAACAAGGTGTTCCTACTCCTCTACGTGGATGATATCCTAGTGGCTGGAGCAAAGGAGGAGAAGGTGGAGGAGGTGTGCACTCACCTCGCAGCTGTATTTCAGGTGAAGAAGATTCCAAGGACCACTCTCTTCCTTGGAATGAACATAGAGAGGAATAGGGAGGAGAAAAAGTTGCTGCTATACCAGAAGAAGTACTTTCAGAGGTTGCGGGAGAGGTTTGGAGGGCATTGCAAGACTAAACCAGTGACAACACCTCTCAGCAGCCTTGCGGACAAGGAGGTCGATGTGGGAGCAGAAATTGAGGCATGGGGCAACAGGGAGAGAGCGCTCAAAGCTTACCAATCCATGGTAGGCTCAGTCATGTACCCGGTGTCATGCACACGGGTTGATGTGGCCTATGCTACAAGCTTTCTTGGACAGAGGGTGTTGCAGCCCGAGGGACGCAAGTGGAAGGAAATTGAGCGGACCATCACTTACCTCTTGCAGGGGGATGATGAGGGGCTGCTGTTTGAAGGGGGAGAGGAGAGTCTAGAGCTAGTGGGGTACGCTGACGCCTCACACGGATCAGACAAGAAGGATGGGAGGGGAGCCTATGGCTATGTTTACCTCCTTGGCGGTACAGCAATCATGTGGCAAGCCAAGAAGCTCACCGACGTCGCTCTGTCCACCGCGGAGTCTGAATATATGGCGCTGTTTTATGCATGCCAAGAGGGTGTGTGGCTGAGGCGCTCACTTCAAGAGATGGGGGTCAAAGTGGAAGGACCTACAACAATCAAATCGGACAACAAATCAGCGATTGACCTCGCACGAAACGACAACTGGCATGGGCGCACGAAACACATGAACGTGAGGTACCATTGGGTACGGGAGCAGCTACAGAAGAAGGCATTCACCTTCGTGCACGTGGGAACACATGAGCAGCCAGCGGATTTCCTCACCAAGGTGCTACCGAAGGCAAAATTCGAGTTCTGCAAGTATTTTGTCGGCATGCGCACCCTCAAGGACTTGCAAGGGAGCAGCGGAGCAGCAACACGAGATACTACACCACCTTACGGTTGGGATCAGCAAGGGAAGAAGAAGGCGGGTTACATTGTAACCACTGGAGCATAGGAGGGTGGCAGCTGGCAAACCACGGGGGAGATTGTTAGGGTGGTTCGCCACTGCCCTAGTGTCTACCGGCCTGCGCGCCTGACCTAGGGACGGTAGAAGAACTCTAGGAACGGTGGGAACTACGACCTAATATGGGGAACCGGTACCTAGAACGGTGGGGCTGCATGCTAAGTAGTTACGAGAGGAAAACGTGAGGAAAGTAAGGGAAAACGGAATGACTGAGAAATAGGGTTCGGGAAATGTCGAGAAGACATTTCCGAAGCCTAGAATGTCCAACCGAAACCGAACCGTGTTCGGTGCGGAAGGGACAAACGGGTTTCGGTTCCGGTGACGGTTACCGAATTCGGTTACGCGTGCGACTCGGGCTGAAACGCGGATGACGCGTTACGCGAGGCGCACATCACATTTCGAAATGCTTAAATGTGTTTGTTTTCAATCAGTTGTTTGTACTTCTCTGTTTTCAGTGAAAATTGCACCAGAAAACCAGAATTTTCTCCAAGTGACTACTAATCTCCAACGCTAGCCAGAGGCTATACCTAAACTTAGATGAACGAGCTCAAAGTTGACTAAGAAATATCCTGGATAGGAGCACTACAAACTGATTCTCGTGTCTGCCTGTCCGACTGCTCCCAGAATGATCCTAAGCCAGCACAAACCCTCTCTCCTCCCTCCTTGCAGGTCATATGGTCGGATCCTCAATGCGGCGACGGCACATGCACACCCCCAACTGAATTTCCTGCAGTGGGCCGATTTGGCTGTGCCCAAGACTGTGGTAACGCGCGTAACGTTACAACGGTGACGGTGGCGCTGCGATGTCACTTTGCATCGAGGGAAGCTATGGTTAGCAGCTCCTGGAACCTCTGCTCTACTGCTATCAGAGATGTGTGCTGGTGAGCCCTCTCTCTGTACCAGAGTGAGTGTGTGGGAAAGCGTGAGCGGGCGTGTGGGGGTGGGAAGGTGGTGACGGTGGCTCTGCGGTGCCACTTTGCATTGAGGGAGGCCATGGTTAGCAGCTCCTGGAACCTCTGCTCTACTGCTATCCGAGATGTGTGCTGGTGAGTTCCCTCTCTGTACCTGTGTGAGTGAGTGTCTGCGTGGCTGTGTATGAGCGAGTGTGGCGATGGTGTGGTGACGGTGGCGCTGCGGTGCCACTTTGCATTGAGGGAGGCCATGCAGAGCAGCTCCTGGAACCTCTGCTCCACTGCCATCCGAGACGTGTGCTGGTGAGAGTTTCTCTCTGTACCAGGGTGAGTGTTTGGAATTGCGTGTGCAGGCGTGTTTGGGTGGGAAGGAGGTGACGGTGGCATTGCGGTGCCACTTTGCATCGAGGGAGGCGATGCTTAGCAGCTCGTGGAACCTCTGCTCCACTGCCATCCGAGACGTGTGCTGGAGAGTGAGTGAGTGAGTGAGTGTGTGCGTGTGTGGAGTGGGAGGATGGCGGTGGGGTGGTGACGGTGGCCCTGGGGTGCCACTTCACATCAAGGGAGGCCATGATGATGAGCAGCTCGTTCCTTCTCCCCCTCCCCGCTTTTCTCGTTCTTCCCCCACACCAGGTTCCAGGACCCCCAGCTATTCACAGAGTTCACGGGCTGGCACACGGTCACAGTGCGCCTGCCAGACAACGACTGGTACGTTGCTGGTGAATGGGAGAGAGTATGTGCTAAGATACACACCCTCTCCCCTCCCTCACACCCGTTCAGGTTCCAGGACCCCCAGCTATTTATCGAGCTGAAAGGCTGGCACACGGTCACAGTGCGCCTGCCAGACAACGACTGGTTCGTCTCCCTCCCCTCCTCTCCTCCTCTCCTCCCTCCCGCACATCAGGTTTCAGGACCCCCAGACATTCACGGAGCTGACAGGCTGGCACACAGTCACAGTGCGCCTGCCAGACAACGACTGGTTCGTCTCCCTCACTGCTCCCACCGGGGGCGTGGGCGTCTATGTCTATGAGTCCCTAGGGAAGAAGACCACAGGCGCTTCAGAACCTGGCACAGACTCCTCCTCTGGTGTTAACAGCTCAGGCTCAGCTGCTGAAGGCTCGGTGATGATATCAGCACCGCCGCCACTGCCACCGCCGCCACCCCCTGTTTCCACCGCCCCTGCCCCAGCCCCCTTCCGACTGCCCTCCTCGCGTGTCTCCCCCTCCGCCTCTCCTCCACCCGCCTCGCCCACCGCTTCGACTTTTGAGTCGACTCAAAAGTCAACTCCTCCACCCGCCTCGCCCACCGCTTCGCCTTTTGAGTCGACTCAAAAGTCAACTCCTCCACCTGCCTCGCCCACCGCTTCGCCTTTTGAGTCGACTCAAAAGTCAACTCCTCCACCCGCCTCGCCCACCGCTTCGCCTTTTGAGTCGACTCAAAAGTCAACTCCTCCACCCGCCTCGCCCACCGCTTCGCCGTCCACAAAGGAGTATCTGCGGCCTTCCAACGGCACGGGGGCGAATGTGCTGCTGGCGAGCGTGGATGGGTGTGTGGAGGACGGCGAGAGCGGTCTGCAGCGGTGCAGACAGGTACGGTGTGGTGGTGAGGTGTTGGACGCGGTGCATGTGCAAGCAGGGGTTTGCAGCGGTGCAGACAGGTATGATGCAGTGGAGAGGTGCTGAAGACGTGCATGCTGCGGTGCGGTGCAGACAGGTGCAGTGCGTGGTTATGTCATTGTGAGCACTCTGCTCTCCCTATTCCTCCCTCCCGTCTCCTCACTTCCCTCTCCGCTCTCCTCTCTCCCTCACGTCTCCCATGCCCCAGACCTGTGCCATATGGACTATCTGTCTCCCGCAACTGTGCACCAGAAGCAGCAGCAGCACTGGCAACACCACCAACAGCACCAGTCCTCACTCACTCCCTTCTCTTCACTCCTCTCCCTCGCGTCTCCCATGCCCCAGACCTGTGCCATATGGACTATCTGTCTCCCGCAACTGTGCACCAGAAGCAGCAGCAGCAGCACGGGCAACAGCAGCAGCAGCGCCGCAAGCACCAGTCCTCCCACGACTCTGCCCGTGCGTGTGGCATCTGCAGCGCTAGGCAGTTGCTTCCAGGCGTGCAACATCATGCTGCCAGGGACCACCTTCGACCCCCCTGACAGCATCACCTGCTCCCAGGTGAGATCAGACCCCTCACACACGCATTCCCTTTGCATGCTTCCATTTTGGTCTTCGATGTGTCTCGGATGTGCTTGGTGCTCTCAGGGGTTCATACTTTCAACTGCAGTCCTGTTCCTACCGTCCCTCCTGCCCCTCACCTCCTTGCCTTGCCCATACCCTCCTCCGGTGTCCCCCTTCTTTCCCTCCCCATACAACGCTGTTCCCGCCAGGCGTTCACTGTCTTCGAGGCGTCTCTGCAAACACCCTCATGCACTGGTGCTCCCCCTGCCCCTCACCTCCGCCCTTGCCCATACCCTTCCCCTGCCATGTCGTCATATCCTGCTGCACTCTCTGCCGCTTCTCCTACCACCACTTCTCCTTTGCCTTGTGCCTGCCTGCCAGACGCCTTAAACACACACACCATCACCTACGTCCTCTGATCCTACCACGTGTGCCCTGTATGGATGTGCGCAGATATGCTCTCAGAGTCCCCTGCAGCAGCAGCATCCCAGCCACCTACAACAGCAGCGGCACCGACAGCACCAGCAGCAGCAGCACCAGCAGCAGCAGCACCAGCAGCAGCAGCACCAGCAGCAGCAGCACCAGCAGCAGCAGCACCAGCAGCAGCAGCACCAGCAGCAGCAGCACCAGCAGCGCCAGCAGCAGCAGCACCAGCAGCAGCAGCACCAGCAGCAGCAGCACCAGTAGCAGCAGCACCAGCAGAGGCAGCAGCAGCAGTGGACGCACCAGAAGCACCAAGTTCCCTGTCTGCTCGTTTGCTACTAGAGTCGTCTGCTCACAGCAGCAGCGCCAGCAGCAGCAGCCACTTGCAACAAGCACCTCTTCAAGTCACTCCGTGTGACCCTTCCAGCACCAGTCTCCCAACCAACACCCCAGCCGCTCCCTGTGTGCACAGCCGTGTCAGCTCCTCTGCTCCTGAAGCGCTCCCCATGTCCTCCCCGCACCCCTCTTGGCCTGCCGGGTCTCTCTTGGATCCCTGGGCTGGCATGGCGTCAGTGCAGCTGGTATGTACTCTGAGGCAAGTTCTTCCCATGCTCTCCTTCAGTCCAGGTATGTGCTGGTTTGACGATCCTCTGTCTTTGGTTGTCAATGCGTTGTCTCGGTTATGATATCCTTTGTCATCGGGGCGTTTAAGATGATCCCGTCAACCCCTCCTCTTTTTGACCCTAATTGTGTTTCCTGATTACACTCCACGTCGTCTCCATGCCCGCGTGTCTCCCTCCCTGCCAGCACCACCAGCAGCTGAGGCAGAAGCTAAAGGAAGAACGGGTCAGTGCTCCCTCCTTCCACGCTTCCAGTCTCCACCACCCCCCTAGTCTCCACGCTCCTCCTCACAAGAGTGCCGGTGCTTTTCGCTCCAGCCGACAGCTCTTCCCCTCTCCACCGACCTCCTCATTCCTCCCAGGTGAATTTTGATGCGCCTCCCACCCCCCCTCTCCCTCCCCCCCCCTTCCCAGCTTCCTCTTCCCACCAGCCACCGAAGCTGCCTCCTTGCACCTCACCCACCCTTCCATCCCCTCATCCTCACCCATTCTCCCCCCCACCCCCTCCAGCCACCTCCTCCCAGCCAATCGCAGAAGCCCAGCGGCTCGTGTGGGAGAGCCTTGGGACGACAGACGGAGAGCGAATCAGGGCGTGCCAGGTGGCGGTGGCACGGGCGCTGTACACCGCAGTGAAGGAGAACTGCCTGGCCGGGCCGACAGCTGGCGGCAGCAGTGACAGTGGTGGCAGTGGCAGTGGCAGTGGCAGTGGCAGTGGCAGCAATGGCAGCAGTGGTAACAGCAGCAGTGGCGGTGGTAGTGGCAGCAGCAACGATAACAACAGAAGCAGCACCACCAGTAATAGCAGCAGCTTGGAGCAGTCGTCCCCAGCCAAGAGCCTCTCCCTGGCCTCGCGCAATCGCCTCGTTGCCTTCCTCTGCACGCTCTTCGCTGGGCCTTTCACCTCCCACCCTCACTGCAACTTCACGGACGCTTTCTTCAGGCGGCAACTGACGGATCATGCAGAGCTGGTGGATTACATTCGAGCAACGCACCGCAGGTAAGGGAAGGATGGTGTGCGCTCAACCTCAACTATATGCAATTAGTGGCAAGGGGTTTATCCACCAGGCTCCTTCTCATTATCCACCATCCTTCCTCTCCCAAAACCTTTTCATCTCTCCCTCCTCTCATGGCCATCCCAGTTCTCCCCCCTCCCTTCCCCTACTCCACCCGTTCTCTTCTTTCTCAGTCCCTCCCGGCGCTTCTCTGCCGCCCAGCAGGCTCTTTTCGTCCGCATCCTCGTCATGGCGCTGCAGTCAGTCGTGCAGAAGATGCCGAGCGATGCCGTCCAGGCTGCCACCCACTTGCTGCACATCTTCAACGACGCAGTGGTCTCGCCAGACGCCTCGCCGTGCCCCCAAGGTGCATCTCTCTTTCTGTTGCTCTCAAGTGCCCCTATGATCTTCCCAGGTGCTCCTGCTGTTGGTCTCAGGTGCTCTCTGTTTTTCTCAGGTGCTCCTGCTGTTACCCTCAGCTTCCTGTCTGTTTCTCCCTCACGTGCTTTTGTAATAACTCCTCGTCAGGGCGCAAGCGTTTCGAAGAGCCTTGCGCGTCCCAAGTGGGTGCTTTTGTAATAACTCAAGAGCTTCCTCCTCTCCCTACAATCCTTCTCTCCTCCCTCCCCGGGTCCCCCTCCTCTCCCCCAGCGGATTTTATGGTTCTATGGGACTCTGCGTCCTTCACCCGCCGCGCCATATCAGACGGGCAGCGGGTCACGTGGGTGTGGAACGACGACGACTACCACGAGCTCTCAGGTGTGGCGAGCAAGGGTAGGGAGGAGAGGGAGACGGGAGAGGTGCAGCAGTGCCCTGCCCTTCGCTTGTGAATCTTTGATTTGATGTGGTGGGCCTCTGCCCATCCCATGCCCACGTGGGTAGGTGTGGAACGGCGACGACTACCACGAGCTCTCAGGTGCGGTGCAGTGAAAATTGCACAGGGTCCTCTCTCTTTTACTCTTTCACTGGGTTCACTGCAGGGTTGGTGGGCACATGCATTCTACTCCATCTGACGCTCCGCATGCATTTGTTTGATTTTTCTTCCTCTTTCGTCCCTCACTGCAGCATGGGCGGGTTCGGAGCCGTTTCTTGGGTTTGGAGCGGGGCGGCTCGGCCTATCACGGCTTGCCACATGTGCATGGGATAACATTGGGCCCAGAGATGCCTCGGATGAGCCTGCGCCATGCGTGCTGCGTGAGTGGTGACGTGGCATGCCATGCTGGCATATGGTGACATGGCATGCATATGTGAACGTCTGTTATATCTTTTCAATGCCGTTTGCACTTAAACACCAGGTTTGTTGCCATACCTCCCTCAAACACCCCTTCATCTCCCCCTACTATCTCACTGTCCTCAACACCCCTCATTTTCGCACTACCTCTTTTGTCCTCCATTAACCCTCAACCACTCCTCATGCCTTTTGTTGAGGTGCCTGAAGAAGTCTGTTTAAGGTTTCTCAAGAGTCCCAAAGCACTCCTCACCTCACCCCACCCACCACGCCTTCCCTGCAGGTTCTCCCGACGACACATCACCTCCCCAATTCGCATACACCAAGGTGTTTGGCACTGCGTGCTTGTTATTTGCGATATCATAGAAATTTTGTCTTTCAACTCATTCCTTCTTGCACCCTCCCCTGCAGGCTCTCCCGACGACTCATCACCGCCCCAGTTCGCATACACCAAGGTGTTTGGCACGGCTCGAGACATAGCTGTGAAGGACTCGCCTCAGTCACTCGCATTCACCCTCATCCGCGCCAGGAATGATTCAGGTGCGCGCATGGGTGCATGGATGCGTGGGTGTATGGGTCCAGGCTTGCATGTGGGCATGACTCCAGAAGTGTGGTGCATGGGTGTTAGGCACGGCTCGAAACATGAAAGTGAGGGACTCCCCTCTGTTACACGCATTCACTCTCATCCTGCAACGTCACCCTCTATGGATGCACATAACTCAACCTTGCAATATGCCCCTCTGCAGCTTCTGACTCTTTCTCCGCCTTTCCCAACCATTTCCTAATGGTCATGGTAATGGTAATGATAATGGTAATGGTAATCGTAATGGTAATTGTAATGGTAATGGTAATGGTAATGGTAATGGTAATGGTAATGGTAATGGTATTGATATTGGTATTGGTAATGGTAATGGTATGGTAATGGTAATGGTAATGGTAATGGTAATGGTAATGGTTGATAATGGTAATAGTGGTAATGGTAATGGTAATGGTAATGGTAATGGTAATGGTAATGGTAATGGTAATGATAGTGGTAGTGGTAGTGGTAATGGTAATGGTAATCGTAATGGTAATGGTTGATAATGGTAATGGTAATGGTAATTGTAATTGTAATGGTAATGGTAATGGTTGATAATGGTTATGGTAATGGTAATGTTAATGTCGCTGCTACCAGCCCTGCAACGTCGCTCTCTGTGGCTTTGACGGGGGTGTGGCTCTCTGTTTATTGAGGCGTCTCAAAACCCAACCCTGCACCGTGCTTTTTTGCACCTTCTGACTCCTCTCCCCTTCTCTCAACCATTGCCGGCCCCCCATCCCCTCCCTCACACCACCAGCACCCCAGCCCCGCGACTCTCTCCCCCCCTACGTGCTCCTCCTCGCCTCCCTCTGTGCGCCTGCCTGCCGTCTCGTCTCGCCATGCTGGCCAACGGTCGCTGCGACCAGCAAGTACCCCTTTGCACCTTCTGACTCCTCTCCCCCTCTCCCAACTCTTTCCTGTTCCCCCTACCCCCCACCACCAGCACCCCAGCCCCGCGACTCTCTCCCCCCCTACGCGCTCCTCCTCGCCTCTCTCTGTGCGCCGGACTGCCGTCTCTCCATGCTCGCCAACGGCCGCTGCGACCAGCCCTGCAACGTGGCTCTCTGTGACTTCGACGGGGGGGACTGCGCTTGCGGCGGCGCTGGCAGCGGGAGTATTGGAAGCAGCGTGAGCAGCGGCAGTGATGCTGCTGGTGCTGGTGGTGGGAGTGGGAGAGGAGGCAGCGGCAGTGGCAGCAGTGGCGGTGGTGCGAGTGCGGGTGGGAGTGTGGGAGGAGGAGTGGGTGTGCAGTGGTGCACATGTCCTGTGTTGCAGATACGGGGCGATGATGGAGGTACGCGCGTGCAGTTGTTTGTTAGGCTGCTCAGAAGGTAAATGATTATACTTTCCCTAGGCTTAAGTGGTCCAAACCCGTGAATTGTTTAGATGAGCGGAGGAGGCCCTTTATCAGTGGCTTTTGAGAATTCCCAAAGATGGCTTCACAGCATTCGGTCTTTCTCTTTCACTCTTTTTTCTCTGGCCTCCCTTCCTCCATCACTCAGCGTGCTGTGAAGCAGCAGGAGCAGGCACGGGCATCAAGGTCCCCTTCAGTCTGCAACGATTCGGCCCCACAGTGCATCCCCTCCTCTCCACTCTCGGCAGCACCGCTACTGCTCTGCCTCGTGTTGTGTCCCAATACAACAGGTTCGTGTTTTGAGACGTCTCAAAACTTGTGTTGTGTCCCAATGCAATAGGTTCGTGGCCACAGCCTCTCCTGTTTTGCAATTAACGCCGTGTTCTTGTTCTGCAATCTCTTTATTTCTATGCATGCTGCCCCTTTCCCTCTCCTGTAACTCCTGCCTCTTCAGCCCCCCCCATGTGTCCCTCCTGAACCTCCTTCCTATCCCCTCCCCTCGCCTCAGTGTGCTGATGGGTTTCACTATCGTGCAATACCTCTGGCACTCCTCACGCTCTGATTTGAAGCCAACCAAAGAAGCAGAGTGTGATGCTTGCTGTGAGCCAACCAGAACCATAGCTGCGTGCTCTGCATCCTGCCTGATTCCTGTCCTGTCTTTCCCTCTCCTGTCTCTCCTGCCTCTCCTGCCTCTCCCGCCCCTCGTGCATCTCCCGCTTCTCCGTGCTCTCCCCTCCCCGCACAGGGTGCTGATGGGTCTCATCATCGTACAATACCGCTGGGACTCTGCAGACTGTGCCACGAGCAGGTAAGCGGGCCACATGCATGGGCATGCGCAGGCAAGTGAGTGAGGCACATGCATGTGTTAGAAGAGAGAGAATTGATGCACTGAATAATGAGCCAAAAGGCTCTTTAGTACAAGCAATGAGCAAGGGAGAGATGAGAGGGAAGCTTACCCTATTGGCCAATAAGTTGGCCAATGGGTGAGCTTGCTTGTGGCCCAAGCAACCACAAAATGTGTGTTGGTTGGGATTGGTTGAGGTAAGGACCAATCCCCACCAACCACAAAATGTGGTTGGAGGGTACACTAACCAACCCCCCAATTTATAAGAGTGCTACACATTAGACATGAGCATATTCACGAACGTTCGAGTCGAACCGAACATTCCTTGTCTTTTGGCTAAAAAGGTTCGATACGAACATGTTCGAGTTCGAATGCGTTTTTTTTACCGCGCCGCTTCGAACTCGAACGGGTTCGAGTTCGAAATTGCCCTACGCGAACATCAAAGTGTTCGTGATAAATACCAGCGCGACATCGGCCGCGCTGGTTTCCATATCTGGGATTGAGCTAATTTCGAGCTCGATCTCGTGCTTTTAGTTTAGCATGGCTTAGGCTCCTAGTGTACGCAAACATAAGCCAAGAACGGGTACTTAGGCATTTCCGCTACTAAGAGCCCGTTTATAGCAGATCCACTATAAAGTAAACGCGGCTAACCGTTACTTGTAGTCCGGACAGACCCTTCGCCTGTGGCGAAAGGCATTCGCCCGTCGACCTCTCCTTCCCTCCTTTCCAAGGGATAACCTGATTTAGGGACGAGATCTCTGGCGATGAAAGGGACTGGTGATACCGGTTCAAGGTGGGGAAACGACGAAGGATTTGTGGAAAATCCAGGGGCGAACTCGAACACGTTTGAGTTCGCCACGAACACTTAGATGTTCCCGTGAACATCTAAGTGTTCGCCTCTGAATGCGAACACTCGAACATGAGTTTTCTGAAAAAAATGTTCGAGGGAACCGAACACGTTCGGTTCGAAATTTCCAGGTGTTCGAAAAGGTTCGAATCAAACGTGTTCGGATTCGTGCGATGCTCATGTCTACTACACATCTAAGTCTAGCCTATGCATGTTGTATAAAATATGGAATTACAACACAACCCCCGAACATGCATAAGGCTAGAAGGCTACAATCAAGAAGCGGGGACCAACTTCGGAGGAGTAAGACCAAGGAGACGAATCAGTGAAGAGTGAGCCGCATGAGGAAGAGCTTTTGTGAAGATGTCGGCAAGGTTGGCCGCGGAGTCAACCTTGTCGAGCCGCAGGTGCCCAACCTGAACAAGATCGCGAATGAAGAAATGACGGAGCTCAATGTGCTTGGAGCGCCCGTGAAACACAGCATCCTTCGTGAGGTGAATGGTGCTGGCGTTGTCACACCAAATGGTGGGACAGCGCTGGGGGGCACCAAGCTCCTCAAGAAGGAAGGAGAGCCAGCGAGCCTCTTGTGCAACCATGGTGGCGGCATACAACTCGGCTTCGCAGGACGAGAGGGCGATAGCCGAGGAGCGCGTGGAACGCCAGCTGATGAGGCCGCTGCCAAGAGAGAAGCCATAGCCCTAGGAGGAGCGACGGTCTGGTCGGGAGTCAGCCCAGGAGGAGTCACTGTAGCCGCTGAGGAGAGGTGGGGAAGGGCCGCCAAGGGTAAGGACATAGTCCTTGGTGCCACGAAGGTACCGGAGGACGCGCTTGGCAGCTTGCCAGTGCTCAGCCGTATGCTTGCCAGCGCCAACAAACCGAGCGAGGACGCTGATGGGGTAGGCAATGTCAGGGCGAGTGGAGACCATGGCGTACATGAGGGAGCCGATGAGCTCGGGATAAGGATGGGAGGAGGCGGAGGGGGAGGTGGGTGGAGAGAGGTGGTGCCCGACAGAAAGAGGTGTATGTTGGGCGCCGCCGCGGGCCATGTCAAACCGCTCCAAGACCTGCTGCAAGTAATGACCTTGGGAGAGTGAGATGGTGCGGGCGGAGCGGTCGCGGGTGATGGTCATGCCCAGATAATGCCGTAGCTCTCCCAAGTCTTTGCACTTGAGACGGCTGCCCAACTCAGCCTTAACATGCTCCAACTCTTCAAGGTCGGCAGTGAGCAGAATCATGTCATCGACATACACAAGGATGTAAAATGGGGAGGGGGAGGTGCGGAGGAAGAGGCTGGCGTCAGAGCGGGAGGTGCGGAACCCGAGTTGAGCAAGGGTGGCGGCAAGTTTAGCATGCCACTCCCTCGGGGCCTGTCGAAGCCCATACACCGGTCGACGCAGCTGCCAGACAGAGTCTGCTGGGAAGGGGAGGTGAAAGCCGGCTGGACGCTCCATGTAGATAAGCTCGCGGAGGACGCCTTGTAGGAAGGCGTTAGAAACGTCCATCGAGTGGATCTCCATAATGAGGCGAGCGGCGAGGTCGAGCACGGCGCGAACAGTAGCAGGCTTGGCAGTAGGGGAGAAGGTATCGAAGAAGTCAAAACCATACCGCTGCGTGAACCCCTTGGCGCAACAACGAGCCTTATAGACGGGCGGCTCCCCTGGCAGCTGCTTGACACGAAACACCCACTTTCCTTTCACCACGTTCGTAGGGGCGGGAGGGCGAGGCACATCGACAAAGGAGGAGTTGCCGATAAAGGCCTCCAGCTCCTTGATGATGGCAGCGAGCCATAGCGGAGCGTCAGGGCACGCCATTGCCTCCTCGTACGTGGTAGGAACGAAAATGGAGGGAGCAGAGGAGAAGGCGAAGACAGGTGTGCCGGAGAGGTCGAACGTGATGGGTAGAAGTGAGGGGTCATAAAGGTGGAGGTCAAGGAACTCCTCATGGGAGTCCTCAGAGAGGGAGGTGTGGAAGGCGCCGATGACTGCTGGTGCTGCTGGTGGAGGCGTTGCCGGTGCTGCTGCTGGTACTGCTGCTGGTGCCGCTGCTGGTGCCGCTGCTGGTGCTGCTGCTGGTCCTGTTGCTGGTGCTGCTGCTGGTGCCGCTGCTGGTGCCGCTGCTGGTCCCGCTGCTGCTGCCGATGCCGTTCCCGCTGCTGCTGCTGCTGCCGCTGCTGGTCCCGCTGCTGCTGCCGCTGCTAGGAGCCGCTGCTGGTGCCGCTGCTGGAGAGGAGGTGGCTGAGGGGGCTGTTGCATGAGGGGCTTGATGCAAGACAGCCTGGAAGAAGTGACGAAGGAGGGGGGAGAGAGGGGGAAGGGTATAGGTAGAGAGGGTAACGGGAGGCGGTGCACCAAGGATACCGTCACGTGACCTGGTGTGGGGATACCGGGTGAGTATGGTGCGGGAAGGGGGAGGACGGGTTGGTGGCGAGGGAGAGGAAGGGGGGGGGGGGAGGGGTACTAGGAGAGGAGTGAGCAGGGGAGACAGGAGAAGACAGAGGTTCCGGGTCAAAGATGTCACCAGAAGAGGGAGGGGCACCATGGGACTGGGACGGCGGAGAAGGGGGGGGTGGGAGGATGAGGGGAGGAGGGAGTAGTGGGGGAGGGGTGGTGTCAGACCAGACAAGGGGACGGGTGAGAGGGGGGAGTGGGTCAGTAGATGTGGGAGAGGAGTAGTAGGGAGTGGACTCGTCAAAGACCACATCCCTGCTACGGATTAGACGACCGGATGGGGGGTGGAGGAAAAGGTAGTCGGGGGAGGAGGGATTATGACCAAGGAAGATGCAAGGAAGGGTACGAGGGGCAAGCTTTCCCATGGAACGGGAGCGGTTAGAGGGGTGAATGTGGACATGTGCCTTAGAGCCCCAGACACGAAGTGATGAGGCATCAGGCTTGTCCTTCGTCCATAGCTCAGTGGGGGTGATGGAGGGGAGAAGGGGGTGAGGGTAAAGGTTAGTAAGGAGGGCGGCATGAAGGAGGGCGTAGCCCCAAAGAGAAGGGGGACAGGAGGCGTGGACAAGCAGACATCGGGCTGTTTTGGTGATCTCTCGAACACGACTCTCAGCCACGCCGTTCTGCTGTGGGGAGTGAGGGAGGATGTAAGTCTGAAGGATGCCACGAGACTGACAATAGGAGGAAACTTGGTTGTTAAGGAACTCACCACCTCCATCAGAGTGAAGACGGTGAACAGGGCGCCCAAAATGGGTGTTTGCCCGCTCGAGCCAGGCGATGATCGCAGCCGGGGCATCCGCCTTCGTCCGAAGGAGAGAGACGGATGAGTACCGACTGTGATCATCAACAAGCACGAGAAGGTAGCGATGGCCCTGGCGAGTGGGAGAGGGATTAGGGCCCCATAGGTCCATGTGAACAAGATCAAGTGGCTGCGCAACAGCGGAGGGGGAGCTCCGGTGCGGCTGCTGCTTGAGCTTGCTCTGAACGCAGACGGTGCATGAGCAGGCAAGTGAGTGAGGCACATGCATGGGAATGAGCTGGTGAGCTGTGCTGTTAGCATGGGCCAGCCTTAACGCGCATGGTCAGGCATAAAGCACGCCTGTATTCAGTGACCACACCAGTCGCGACATCACTACGCCCGATTAACCATTTGCTGCTCTTTCAAAACTGCTTCAGTGACCACACCAGTCGCAACATCACTACGCCCCACCAGGCGTTCGGGGTGAACCCAGTCTTCCTTCCGTCCTCCTCGCTATACAACGCCAATGCTGCTGCCAACACCTCCGCCTACACCAACGCTTCCTTTGCCAACCCCACCCTGCTCGTCTCCACTTCACCCCCAACCGGATGTGCAGGTTTCACTTCCAGGACTTGTGTGTGAGAGGCGAGTCATCCGAGGCTTTCGGGGTGAACCCAGTCTTCCTTCCGTCCTCCTCGCTGTACAACGCCAATGCTGCTGCCAACATGACCGCCTACACCAACGAAACATTTGCCAATCCCTTTGAGCTTAACGCCAAGGGGTTGCCATATGGCTTTCAGCAGCTGGTGAGACTCCCTCTCTGCTTTTGATCTTTGAGTTTTGGGCGCCTCACATTTCAACCTCGCTCCACTTTGCTAGTGCGGCTGCCAACGCCTGCCAACGTCTCCAGGAACAAGTCCTTTGCCAATCTTGCAGATTGTTTTTCAGAATTCTCAAAAACAATTTCAACCTCGCTCCACTTTGCTAGTGCGGCTGCCAACGCCTGCCAACGCCTGCAGGAACAAGTCCTTTGCCAATCTTTTTGAGCTCAATGCCAAGGGGTTTCCCTATTGCTTTCAGCAGCTAGTAAGACTCCAAGGCAGTAGCGCTCTGGCGTTGCTGTGAGGGTGTTGGTGCGACTCTGGCATGCTGCTGCCAATGCTCCCTCCAGCAACTGCTTCCCACTGGTATTTGATGTGAATCTGTAACCTTGTCCCCTGTTGTCTGTCCGCTCCCTGTCTCTCATGCAGCCTGGCAGCAGCCGCTTCCCGCTGGTGTTTGATGTGAATCTGGACAACGGGGCAGCAACACGGCGGCTGCAGTACCTGGTGGACGGGTTCTTCGTGGACAACTACACGCGCAGCATCGACGTTGTTCTTATCACTCGCAACGGTGAGGGGCAATGGTGGTGAGATGCGGTAATGAGGTGTGCTCATGACAATGGTGCATCCACACGGCGGCTGCAGTACCTGGTGGACGGGTTCTTCGTGGACAACTACACACGCAGCATCGACGTTGTTCTTATCACTCGCAACGGTGAGGGGCAACGGTGGTGAGATGCGGTAATGAGGTGTGCTCATGACAATGGTGCATCCACACGGCGGCTGCAGTACCTGGTGGACGGGTTCTTCGTGGACAACTACACGCGCAGCATCGACGTTGTTCTTATCACTCGCAACGGTGAGGGGCAACGGTGGTGAGATGCGGTAATGAGGTGTGCTCATGACAATGGTGCATCCACACGGCGGCTGCAGTACCTGGTGGACGGGTTCTTCGTGGACAACTACACACGCAGCATCGACGTTGTTCTTATCACTCGCAACGGTGAGGGGCAACGGTGGTGAGATGCGGTAATGAGGTGTGCTCATGACAATGGTGCATCCACACGGCGGCTGCAGTACCTGGTGGACGGGTTCTTCGTGGACAACTACACGCGCAGCATCGACGTTGTTCTTATCACTCGCAACGGTGAGGGGCAACGGTGGTGAGATGCGGTAATGAGGTGTGCTCATGACAATGGTGCATTCACACGGCGGCTGCAGTACCTGGTGGACGGGTTCTTCGTGGACAACTACACACGCAGCATCGACGTTGTTCTTATCACTCGCAACGGTGAGGGGCAACGGTGGTGAGATGCGGTAATGAGGTGTGCTCATGACAATGGTGCATCCACACGGCGGCTGCAGTACCTGGGGGACGGGTTCTTCGTGGACAACTACACGCGCAGCGTCGACGTTGTTCTTATCACTCGCAACGGTGAGGGGCAACGGTGGTGAGATGCGGTAATGAGGTGTGCTCATGACAATGGTGCATCCACACGGCGGCTGCAGTACCTGGTGGACGGGTTCTTCGTGGACAACTACACACGCAGCATCGACGTTGTTCTTATCACTCGCAACGGTGAGGGGCAACGGTGGTGAGATGCGGTAATGAGGTGTGCTCATGACAATGGTGCATCCACACGGCGGCTGCAGTACCTGGTGGACGGGTTCTTCGTGGACAACTACACACGCAGCATCGACGTTGTTCTTATCACTCGCAACGGTGAGGGGCAACGGTGGTGAGATGCGGTAATGAGGTGTGCTCATGACAATGGTGCATCCACACGGCGGCTGCAGTACCTGGTGGACGGGTTCTTCGTGGACAACTACACGCGCAGCATCGACGTTGTTCTTATCACTCGCAACGGTGAGGGGCAACGGTGGTGAGATGCGGTAATGAGGTGTGCTCATGACAATGGTGCATCCACACGGCGGCTGCAGTACCTGGTGGACGGGTTCTTCGTGGACAACTACACACGCAGCATCGACGTTGTTCTTATCACTCGCAACGGTGAGGGGCAACGGTGGTGAGATGCGGTAATGAGGTGTGCTCATGACAATGGTGCATCCACACGGCGGCTGCAGTACCTGGTGGACGGGTTCTTCGTGGACAACTACACACGCAGCATCGACGTTGTTCTTATCACTCGCAACGGTGAGGGGCAACGGTGGTGAGATGCGGTAATGAGGTGTGCTCATGACAATGGTGCATCCACTCGGCGGCTGCAGTACCTGGTGGACGGGTTCTTCGTGGACAACTACACGCGCAGCATCGACGTTGTTCTTATCACTCGCAACGGTGAGGGGCAACGGTGGTGAGATGCGGTAATGAGGTGTGCTCATGACAATGGTGCATCCACTCGGCGGCTGCAGTACCTGGTGGACGGGTTCTTCGTGGACAGCTACACGCGCAGCATCGACATTGTTCTTATCACTCGCAACGGTGAGGGGCAACAGTGGTGAGATGCGGTAATGAGGTGTGCTCATGACAATGGTGCATCCACTCGGCGGCTGCAGTACCTGGTGGACGGGTTCTTCGTGGACAACTACACACGCAGCATTGACCTGGTTCTCATCACTCGTAATGGTGAGAGGCAACGGTGAGATGCGGTTATGAGGTGTGCACATGACAACCGGTGGGCCACGCGCCGGCTGCAGTACCTGGTGGATGGGTTCTTTGTGGACAACTTACACACGGAGCATTGATGTGGTGCTCATCACCCGCAATGGTGAGAGGCAGGGAGGAACAGTGAGAGGCAGGGAGGGGGGGCTGCTCCTTGACAATGGGGTGGCGGCTGCAGTGGATGGGTTCTTTGTGGACAACTACACACGCAGCATCGATGTCGTGCTCATGAGACGTCTCAAAACTCATCACTCGCAAGGGTGAGACGCAGGGAGGGAGGGATGGAGGGAGCATATTCTCAAACTTCTTTGAGATGTCTCAGTATTCTCCTTCGACAACCTCTTTTCCTCTCCTCTCCCTTTCCCGATTACCCCTGTCCCTGTCATCTCATCCCTTCCTGTTGCCTCCCTTGCTGTCGCCCCCTCCAGCCAACAAGCAACTTTTCACCACCACCATCAACCATGTTCCTCATTTTCACTAAACCCATTTCCTCATCCCCTTGTACCCCCTCTTGCCCCGGCTTCCCTTGTCCCTGTTGCTCCCCTCCAGCCAATGAGCAACTGTTCACCGCCACCAAAGCCACCCTCTCCCTTCAGCCGGGCGGCAGCATGGACGCTACTTTCCTAATCCAGCCGGTCAACGTGGAATACTACGACCTGAATGTGACAAACAACGTGATACGGCTCGTCCTGGAGCTGCTGTTTGTGGCCGGCGTGGTTTGGAACGTAGTGGAGGAGGTGAAGGAGATGATGTGGATTTGGAAGGTGCAGCGAAGGTCCTTCTGGCATTACTGGCGGCAGGGGTGGAACTGGGTGGACTGGCTTTCCATCTCCGTCCAGATTCTCTGCATCTGCATGTGGTGAGTGGGGGAGTGTGATGTTGTGGCGTCATTAGTGTTGTGAAGTGAATGTGGAGTGAGTGTGAAGTGCGTGTGCAGTAAGTGTGCAGTGAGTGTGCAGTGAGCTTTACCATGCAAGCCCGCTACAACATATGCTATACTCTTGATGAGTACCCTTATTACTGGGCACTCCCTAACCCGCCCTCTTGCCCTCTGCCCTCTCAAGTGGTGCTTGTATTGATGTGCCCTGTCCCGCTCACTCTCCCCTGCACCATGCGCAGGATATCAATGGCAGTGCTATCCGGGCAGAGCTTCAACATGCAGGCACGCTACAACATCTACTACACTCTGGATGAGTACCCGCGCTACTGGGCCCTCCCCAACCCGCCCTCGGGGTACCTGGCTGCAGTGGCTGCTGCTGACAAACTGGGCAGTATTATCAACACGAGCTCAGCTTACTTCGCTCTGCAGGGCATGAAGTGAGTGCAGTGAAATGAAGGGCTTGCAATGAGCGGGTTGCAGTGAGTGACTTGCAGTGAGTGTTTTCCGGGTTTGCACTCTCTTTTCCCCCACCGCCTTTCCTGTACCCATGCGTCCCTCTCCATCCTTCCCTCCCCCATCTCTCCTACGCCCCAACCTCATCAGTGTGTTCATCATGGTGCTGCGAGTGCTCAAGCTGATGGACTTCCAGCCGCACATGGGCATCATCACTCGCTCCATCCGCGTCGCCCTCCCCTCCATCCTGCACTTCTTCCTACTCTCCCTGGCTGTCTTCCTCGCCTATGCCACCTATGCCTACCTCGTGTTTGGCATGACCATGGCACAGGTGAGTCGGACGTGTGTGTGCGGGGGGCGCATGCGTGGCGCCTTGTGTGGCAGGCTGGTGAGGGCTCTCCCCTCCATCCTGCACTTCTTCCTGCTCGCCCTAGCAGTCTTCCTCGCATATGCCACCTACGCCTACCTTGTGTTTGGCATGACCATGGCTCAGGTGCGTGCGTATGTGTGTTGTGTGTAGGTGTGGGCGGGCAAGCAGGCAGGAGGGGAGGCAGGCTGATGAGCCCTCTCCCCTCAATCTTGAACTTCTTCCTGCTCGCCCTCGCTGTCTTTCTTGCTGTCTTTCCCGGTATCCCGGTTTCCCGGTTTCCCGGTATCCCGGTATCCCGGTATCCCGGTTTCCCGGTTTCCCGGTCTCCCGGTCTCCCGGTTCCCCCATATCCCGGTATCCCGGTATCCCGGTGTCCCGGTATCCCGGTCCCGGTATCCCGGTATCCCGGTTTCCCGGTTTCCTGGTTTCCCAGTTGCCCGGTATCCCGGTATCCCGGTATCCCGGTTTCCCGGTTTCCCAGTTTCCCGGTATCCCGGTATCCCGATATCCCGGTATCCCGGTATCCCGGTTTTCGGGTATCCCCGTATCCCGGTTTCCCGGTATCCCGGTATCCTGGTATCCCGGTATCCCGGTTTCCCGGTTTCCCGGTATCCCGGTATCCCGGTATCCCGGTATCCCGGTATCCCGGTATCCCGGTATCCCGGTATCCCGGTATCCCGGTTTCCCGGTATCCTATCCCAATATCCCGGTATCCCGGTATCCCGGTTTCCCGGTTTCCCGGTATCCCGGTTTCCCGGTATCCCGGTATCCTGGTTTCCCGATATCCCGGTATCCCAGTTTCCCGGTATCCCGGTATCCCGGTATCCCGGTTTCCCGGTTTCCCGGTTTCCCGGGTTCCCGGTATCCCGGTTTCCCGGTATCCCGGTATCCCGGTATCCCGGTTATCCCGGTTTCCCGGTTTCCCGGTTTCCCGGTTTCCCGGTGTCCCGGTTTCCCGGTTTCCCGGTATCCCGGTTTCCCGGTTTCCCGGTATCCCGGTATCCCGGTTTCCCGGTATCCCGGTATCCTTGTTTCCCGGTATCACGGTATCCCGGTATCCTGGTATCACGGTATCCCAGTATCCCGGTATCCCGGTAGCCCGGTATCCCGGTTTCCCGGTTTCCTGGTTTCCCGGTATCCCGGCTTCCCGGTTTCCTGGTTTCCCGGTATCCCGGTATCCCGGTATCCCCGCATCCTGGTTTCCCGGTTTCCCGGTTTCCCGGTATCCCGGTTTCCCGGTATCCCGGTTTCCCGGTATCCCGGTTTCCCGTTTTCCCGGTATCCCGGTTTCCCGGTTTCCCGGTTTCCCGGTATCCCGGTTTCCCGGTTTCTCGGTTTCCCGGTATCCCGGTATCCCTGTATCCCGGTTTCCCGGTTTCCTGGTATCCCGGTTTCCCGGTTTCCCGATTTCCCGGTTTCCCGGTTTCCCGGTTTCCCGATATCCCGGTATCCCGGTTTCCTGGTATTCTATCACGGTTTCCAGGTATCCCGGTTTCCCGGTATCCTGGTATCCCGGTTTCCCGATATCCCGGTATCCTGGTATCCTTGTTTTCCCGTATCCCGGTATACCGGTTTCCCGGTTTCCCTATATCCCGGTTTTCGGTATCCCGGTATCCCGGTATCCCGGTATCCCGGTATCCCGGTATCCCAGTTCCCGGTATCCCAGTATCCCGGTTTTCCCGGTATCCTGGTATCCCGGTTTCCCGGTTCCTGGTTTCCCTGTTTCCCGGTTTCCGGTATCCCGGTCTCCCAGTCTCCCGGTCTCCCGGTATCCCGGTCTCCCGGTCTCCCGGTCTCCGGGTCTCCCGGTCTCCCGGTCTCCCGGTATCCCGGTATCCTGGTTTCCCGGTATCCCCGTATCCCGGTATCCCGGTATCCCGATTTCCCGGTTTCCCGGTATCCCGGTATCCCGGTATCCCGGTTTCCCGGTTTCCCGGTATCCCGGTATCCCGGTATCCCGGTTTCCCGGTATCCCGGTATCCCGGTTTCCCGGTTTCCCGGTTTCCTGGTTGCCCGGTATCCCGGTATCCCGGTATCCCGGTATCCTGGTTTCCCGGTTTCCCAGTTTCCCGGTATCCCGGTATCCCGATATCCCGGTATCCCGGTATCCCGGTTTCGGGTATCCCCGTATCCCGGTTTCCCGGTTTCCCGGTATCCCGGTATCCTGGTATCCCGGTATCCCGGTTTCCCGGTTTCCCGGTATCCCGGTATCCCGGTTTCCCGGTATCCCGGTATCCCGGTATCCCGGTTTCCCGGTATCCGATACCGGGTATCCCGGTTTCCCGGTTTCCCGGTTTCCCGGTATCCCGGTATCCCGGTATCCCGGTTTCCCGGTATCCTATCCCAATATCCCGGTATCCCGGTATCCCGGTTTCCCGGTTTCCCGTTATCCCGGTTTCCCGATATCCCGGTATCCCGGTTTCCCGATATCCCGGTATCCCAGTTTCCCGGTATCCCGGTATCCCGGTATCCCGGTTTCCCGGTTTCCCGGGTTCCCGGTATCCCGGTTTCCCGGTATCCTATCCCAATATCCCGGTATCCCGGTATCCCGGTTTCCCGGTTTCCCGGTATCCCGGTTTCCCGGTATCCCGGTATCCTGGTTTCCCGATATCCCGGTATCCCAGTTTCCCGGTATCCCGGTATCCCGGTATCCCGGTTTGCCGGTTTCCCGGTTTCCCGGTTTCCCGGGTTCCCGGTATCCCGGTTTCCCGGTATCCCGGTATCCCGGTATCCCGGTTATCCCGGTTTCCCGGTTTCCCGGTTTCCCGGTTTCCCGGTGTCCCGGTTTCCCGGTTTCCCGGTATCCCGGTTTCCCGGTTTCCCGGTATCCCGGTATCCCGGTTTCCCGGTATCCCGGTATCCTTGTTTCCCGGTATCACGGTATCCCGGTATCCTGGTATCACGGTATCCCAGTATCCCGGTATCCCGGTAGCCCGGTATCCCGGTTTCCCGGTTTCCTGGTTTCCCGGTATCCCGGCTTCCCGGTTTCCTGGTTTCCCGGTATCCCGGTATCCCGGTATCCCCGCATCCTGGTTTCCCGGTTTCCCGGTTTCCCGGTATCCCGGTTTCCCGGTATCCCGGTTTCCCGGTATCCCGGTTTCCCGTTTTCCCGGTATCCCGGTTTCCCGGTTTCCCGGTATCCCGGTTTCCCGGTTTCTCGGTTTCCCGGTATCCCGGTATCCCTGTATCCCGGTTTCCCGGTTTCCTGGTATCCCGGTTTCCCGGTTTCCCGGTTTCCCGGTTTCCCGGTTTCCCGATATCCCGGTATCCCGGTTTCCTGGTATTCTATCACGGTTTCCAGGTATCCCGGTTTCCCGGTATCCTGGTATCCCGGTTTCCCGATATCCCGGTATCCTGGTATCCTTGTTTTCCCGTATCCCGGTATACCGGTTTCCCGGTTTCCCTATATCCCGGTTTTCGGTATCCCGGTATCCCGGTATCCCGGTATCCCGGTATCCCAGTTCCCGGTATCCCAGTATCCCGGTTTTCCCGGTATCCTGGTATCCCGGTTTCCCGGTTCCCGGTTTCCCTGTTTCCCGGTTTCCCGGTATCCCGGTCTCCCGGTCTCCCGGTCTCCCGGTATCCCGGTCTCCCGGTCTCCCGGTCTCCGGGTCTCCCGGTCTCCCGGTCTCCCGGTATCCCGGTATCCTGGTTTCCCGGTATCCCCGTATCCCGGTATCCCGGTATCCCGATTTCCCGGTTTCCCGGTATCCCGGTATCCCGGTATCCCGGTTTCCCGGTTTCCCGGTATCCCGGTATCCCAGTATCCCGGTTTCCCGGTATCCCGGTATCCCTGTTTCCCGGTTTCCCGGTTTCCTGGTTGCCCTGTATCCCGGTATCCCGGTATCCCGGTATCCTGGTTTCCCGGTTTCCCAGTTTCCCGGTATCCCGGTATCCCGATATCCCGGTATCCCGGTATCCCGGTTTCGGGTATCCCCGTATCCCGGTTTCCCGGTTTCCCGGTATCCCGGTATCCTGGTATCCCGGTATCCCGGTTTCCCGGTTTCCCGGTATCCCGGTATCCCGGTTTCCCGGTTTCCCGGTTTCCCGGTATCCCGGTATCCCGGTATCCCGGTTTCCCGGTATCCGATACCGGGTATCCCGGTTTCCCGGTTTCCCGGTTTCCCGGTATCCCGGTATCCCGGTATCCCGGTTTCCCGGTATCCTATCCCAATATCCCGGTATCCCGGTATCCCGGTTTCCCGGTTTCCCGTTATCCCGGTTTCCCGGTATCCCGGTATCCCGGTTTCCCGATATCCCGGTATCCCAGTTTCCCGGTATCCCGGTATCCCGGTATCCCGGTTTCCCGGTTTCCCGGGTTCCCGGTATCCCGGTTTCCCGGTATCCTATCCCGGTATCCCGGTATCCCGGTTTCCCGATTTCCCGGTATCCCGGTTTCCCGGTATCCCGGTATCCTGGTTTCCCGATATCCCGGTATCCCAGTTTCCCGGTATCCCGGTATCCCGGTATCCCGGTTTCCCGGTTTCCCGGTTTCCCGGTTTCCCGGGTTCCCGGTATCCCGGTTTCCCGGTATCCCGGTATCCCGGTATCCCGGTTATCCCGGTTTCCCGGTTTCCCGGTTTCCCGGTTTCCCGGTGTCCCGGTTTCCCGGTTTCCCGGTATCCCGGTTTCCCGGTTTCCCGGTATCCCGATATCCCGGTTTCCCGGTATCCCGGTATCCTTGTTTCCCGGTATCACGGTATCCCGGTATCCTGGTATCACGGTATCCCAGTATCCCGGTATCCCGGTAGCCCGGTATCCCGGTTTCCCGGTTTCCTGGTTTCCCGGTATCCCGGCTTCCCGGTTTCCTGGTTTCCCGGTATCCCGGTATCCCGGTATCCCCGCATCCTGGTTTCCCGGTTTCCCGGTTTCCCGGTATCCCGGTTTCCCGGTATCCCGGTTTCCCGGTATCCCGGTTTCCCGTTTTCCCGGTATCCCGGTTTCCCGGTTTCCCGGTTTCC